CTATCTATTTAAACGACTTAATTACGATTGCGTAGTGAATGGGGCAATTGCCACAAACTGTGTTTGGTTATTTCACAAAGAAAGTCAAAAACACGGTTTCCCAATCTCGCTTTGTAATAACACGCTTTCGGCTTTCTCGTTGCAGAATCCGTCATCTAATTCTGGTGTAAATTCACATTTGAATTATTAAAATTGTCTGATATCTTAATCTTTGATTATGTAAAATTTTTTATTTTGATCTTTAAGTTTATAAAAAGTATTTATTATCATTTTATATTAAAATTAATTAAAATATTTTATTAATTGTTTATAAAAATAATTTATAATTTTTTATCTATTCGTATTAATAATAAAAATTAAATAACAAAATGAAAGCTAAAATTATTTTTCATTTTTTATTTTTTTGAAACTCTTTTCTTTAATTTCTTTAAAACTTTAAAATGTTAAGAGATAGGATATAAGAGAATTTTATTCTTTTATACTAATTTTTTTACAATTTTTTTAAAATTTATTAATATTAGATCTGATCAAATAAATATTTAATAAAGCCCACCTTAAAATAAATATTGTTTTATAAAATTACAGTTAAAATTTTATAAAGTCAAAAATTAAAACAACTAATATTTTCAATAGGCGGAATTAAAATAAAACAAATCTATAATTTTGTGTCGCAACGTGTAACTTCCTCATGATTCCGAGTGTATATGTTGCTAGAACTTGAACTTATGCTGCATTTCCACTGAATTTCAATGAATGCTTGTGAAAATCATCTCAAAAGTCAAAACATACTTTCCGTTCAAAGAGTTACATTTCAAAAAAGCATAGCAAATGATTTGACAGAAAATACCTGCTTCAGTAAGATTCTATATATACCATTATATGTTCTCATATTATTGGTCAGTTTTTTTAATATGATTTTTCTAAAAATATTATCTCGACATAGTTTTCTAAAAACACACCATTGACAATTTTTAAAATATAAAAACTTAGTTAAAAATAAAAGTTATTATTGACAATTTTTATAGCCAAAAATTTTTCTTTATACATCTAAAGTTTGGTAAGTTTTTTTTTTTAAATACAACTCAATTTAAAAATTTGTTAGCTGAGTTTTTTTTTTTAATTTTGCTAGAAAAATTGCTAATGACATTTTTTAAAAAGAAAAATCTCTATTAACGACTTTTGAAATGATGATATATAAATAGTTATTGGTTATTTGTAGTGAATTGTAGGCAAATTTATTAAAATATTGTAAATTCAAAAACAATTTATTATTTTATAGGAAATCTGAAACAATTTCTCAATCTGGAGTATTTTTGCCACGTGGAACAGAATTTCGCCAAACGGCTGGCGAAAGTATTAATTATTTTGCCAAAAAAAGAACGAAATACGACTTCTTAGAGCGGTTAAAATGGAACCGCTCTCATAGGTCTATTTAAGAGAGCGGTTCAAACGGAACCGCTCTCATAACCCATTTTAGAGAGCGGTTCAAATGGAACCGCTCTCATAACTCCTTTTAGAGAGCGGTTCCATTTGAACCGCTCTCATAACCCATTTTAAAAGAGCGGTTCAATTTGAACCGCTCTCTTAGGTATATACAGTATCTCGCTTCACGAGTTTCGCCAACCGAATTGCGAAATGTAATGCAGCTTCGCATATTTGATGGCGAAAATTTTCTTTTAATATATTTTTAAATTAATTTCGTTACCGGACTGGCGAAACAAATACCCATTTCTTCATTTTCCTGGCGAAATTGAACGCTATATATATCTCCTACCCATCTCTCATTTTCATCGGAAGGACAGAAGAAAATCTCAGGTATGTGTTATTTAATAATTTTATTATTTAATTTTGAATGTATAATTTTAGTTATATTTAATTAATGAGTCTTGTTTATTTTATTTATGTTAATTATTGTAAAGTTTAAATATTAAATAAAGTTTATTTGAATAAAATGCAGGATGAGTGGGATTGTTATTATTATATATTGGAATGGTAGAATCTATGAAAGAAATGAAGGAGTAAGTTTTGAAGGAAGTAAAAAAGTAATTCAAATAAAACGAGGAATAAGTTATGAAACATTGAAAAGAAAAATTCATGTGAAACTCAATCTTAATCATAATCAAGTGATTTCTAGATTAATTTCTCATTTTTTGATTGATGAAAATATTAGACAGTATACAGCTTTGGATATATGTGATGATGAAGATATTGATTGTATGATAAGTGCATTTCAACAACAATCTAGTAGAAATATTATTGAGTTATATGTAGATATTGCTGTTGGTGGAAGTTTATCAATGTCCTTACAGACGATGAATTTAAATTTATCACTTTCACAACAAAATGATAGGACCCTTGTGAGTCGTGATTATAATGAAGGTTAAATTATTTTTGTTCTAATGTCTTTTATTTAATATATGTAATTGATTGAATTAAAACTGATAAATTTGTTGCAATAAAGGAGTTAGGAATGATGCTGATGAAGATAATGAACACTCAGATTATGAGAGTTACACTGATAGAGATGATGAAGCAGAAATTTCATTAGGCAGTTCTTCTTCTACTGATGTTGAAGGCGAGTTTAATTCCAACTTACATATACAAGTAACCGAAAATGTAGGAGGTAATGTGAAATAATTATAAAGAATTTGTTTTTTGTGGTTATTTATTTATATATTAATGATTTTTTGTGAAATAATTATAAAGAATTTGTTTTTTGTGAAATAATAATAATGCAGAAGATACTGTAATTCCTTTTTGGAATGTTACTCCAAAGTATAAGTATATTAATTGGGAATATCCTGATCAAGAAATGGATGAAGAACATCTTCAATAAGTCAATTCATGGGTTGAAGGAGATCCTTTATTTGTTGGCTTATATTTTGACAGTAAAGAAGATGTGAAGAATGCATTGAAACATTACGCAATGAAGATTCATCAAAGTTATTTTGTGGCTGAGTCTAAACCAACATGTTTGTACGTTAAATGCTTAAATCATACCTCTGGTTGTCCATGGAGAGTGAGGGCTTCATTGTTGAAGAATTCAAACAAGTGGAAAATTACTAGGTGGGGTGGTTCACATACATGTGTCAATATGAGAATTTCTCAAGATCATCAAAAGTTAGATTCTGATTTAATTTGTTCATGCATTCTTGGTAAGTAAAATATCAAGTTTTTTATTTTATTTTTACAATGACATTGTTATTAACTTGAGAAAATTTATTTTATGTAGGAATGGTCAACGAGGAACCGTCGGTACATATTTCATTGATACAAGAGCGAATATGTGCTCAGTTTGGATATAAAATTTCATATAAAAAAGCTTGGAAGGCAAAGCAAAAAGCCATTGTTAAAGTATTTGGTGATTGGGATGAATCATATGCTACCTTGCCTCATTGGTTAGAATACATGCAATTAAATTCTCCTGGACCTGTTTATAAACTTGAAACAAAAGAGTATGTGGTTGGTCATCAAGTGAATAATAGGTATAGAGTATTTGAACGACTATTCTGGTCATTCGAACAATGTCATGAGGCTTTTAAATTCTGCAAACCTATATTACAAGTGGATGGGACGTTCTTATATGGTAAGTATCGTCATACGTTGCTCATTGCAACAACTCAAGATGGAAACAATTGTGTTCTTCCAGTAGCTTTTGCAATTGTCGAAGGAGAAACACTGTCAGCATGGGAATGGTTTTTGGCATTGATTCGTTTGCATGTTACCGATAGAGCAGGAATTTGTTTGATATCAGATAGACATCAAAGTATAAAAGGAGCTGTGTCAAATCCACACATTGGGTGGCAACCTCCAAATGCGTATAATGTATATTACATTCGTCATATTGCCAGCAACTTTAATCACCGGTTTAAGAATATAGCATTGAAGAAAGAGCTCGTCAAATTGGGTATATTTAATTTTTTTATCTAGATTATGGTTAAATTATTAGATATCCATCGAATCCGTGGATAGATATTTTAATGTTTTGAATGTTGTATATGTAGGTTATACACCATCGAAGGTCATTTTTCAGCAAAAGTTAACTAGATTTCGCAATGAATCTGAAGATATAGAAAGGTGGATTGACAGTATATCAAAAGAGAAATGGGCATTATCTTATGATGATGAAGGACGGCGTTATGGACACATGACTACAAATCTTTCAGAATCAGTAAATAAAGTGTTTAAAGGTACTAGAAACCTACCCATATGTGCATTAGTTAAAGCCACATATGGACGATTAGTTGAATATTTTGTGAAGCGTGGAGAAGAGGCCATGTCTGACCTTCACAATGGAAGCATGTTTTGTCGTAAAGTTATGTTGCAAATTCAAAAAAATCAACAAGAAGCTTCATCACACCAAGTTCGTCGGTATGACATACAAAGAAAAAGTTTTGAGGTTGAAGAAGCTTTTAATCCCCTAACACAAAGGGGTGGACACAAATGGACAGTTATATTGGATAGAAGATTCTGCGAATGTGGAAGATTTCAGTCTTATCGATTTCCTTATTCACATGTCATAGCCGCTTGTATAGCCGTGAGTATCGATTTTTGGCAATATGTGGATCCTGTTTATTCAATGCAATATGTTGTAAATGCATACTCCCCACAGTGGAAGCCCCTGGGAAATGAATGCAACATCCTTACAAACTGCGAATGGAAGTTAATGCCTGATGTTGACAGAGCAAGAGGTAAAGGCCGACCAAAATCAACTCACATTAGGAATGAAATGGACTGGGTTGAGTCACAAACTAGACAAAGGTGTTCCAAGTGTAACGAAGTAGGTCACAATCGACGTTATTGTCCTCAACAAAACAATGTTGGTTGACCAAATCATACAATGTTGGTGTTTGTATTTTTTTTTTTATCTTGTGATATTGTTATTTATCGTAATTGTCATTAATTATTGTAATGAAACCATTAATGTTATATCAAGTGAAGGCACAAACAAATTAATAATTACGGTAAGCATTAAAGTCACTAACAGTAATATATGTTAACTAAAATAAGTTGCTACATAAAAACATGTCATTGCTGTCCCCCCTGTGTGCCTCATGATGATGATCGTCTGGAGTCAAGATACATTGCCTCTGCCTATCTCGAGCTCCTCGATGAGGGTTCCGACGAACATATCCTAAATCAGCAACTGCACCAAACTTGGCATTAAGATCAATACCTAACTCTATAGGATGTATGTTTGATGGTATAGGGTCAACTTGACTGTATGGGGCACCTGGAGTCAAAAGCGAATGGTGCTCGTGAAGAGGTGTGAAAAAGAAATCAGGTCGTGGAATGTAATCTTCTGTTCCTGTAAAAGGTGATGATGGGTGTTCTAATGGATGGTGTGTACCCTGTGATGAATGGAAATAAGTCAGGGCTGTCATCAAACTAGATGGATGAAAAGGAAACTCTGATGGTATTGGAAAGACACCATCAGGTCACTCTGGCATAACCGGGACAGCCCACTCTGCTGCCTGCACTTGTCTCCGTCGATGTGCCAAGCCTCTTCCTTCTCTTCGTTGATACAGCTGATCTATGTGTAAGTCTGGATTGACAGGATTACCACTTTGTAGTGGTGGATCTGAGGTTGAAATAGGCTCTAATATGCGATCTTGCTCCTTCTTCAATGACAGAAGACTCTCAGACAAGTCCTTCAATTTATTAATGGTAAAAGAATCTTGTCCATCAGTGCTCAAGTAATACAATCTCTCCATCACATCACCCTAAAAATAGTTAAAAGTAACCATTACTGTAATTTTGTATATAAAACAGAAAGTAATAGTGCAAAAAGTATATATTTTTGTAAACATACCGACAAAGCTGATACTGCTGCCTCCCTGGTCATCCAACGACGAGTATGACTAACATACCATCGCATGTACTCTGAATTTGAGCTAAGTAAACCATACTGAGGCTCATTAGTCAAAACCCAAAGTCGTCTACTCTCCCAAATTTCTAACATAGCACTGAACTTGGCTGACCAATCTTCTCCAGTCTTCCCTCTGAGGGTAAGGTCATGTAGCTGGTCAGGCTGGTAAGGAGTCCTTGGTATGTGTTGAACCATACCAAACTGACGCATTACTCTATCAGGTTGATGCCACTCACATACCTGAAAACATATAAGTGGCACCACTGCCCTCCATAAGTCCATAGCATCTCTACAAATAGGTGGTAATATATTGATGAGTTCCATATTGTATGGCACCCACACAATCTGTATGATGACATACAAAACAGATTAATAACAAAAAAGTACGTAATTAACATGTTATTTAAATAAGTAACTCAGCAAAAGTTGACTATAATACCCCATCACGTGCTAGACGATCAAAAATATATCTGTAGTAGTGGACATATTTCTTTCCCCTTCTGATACCGTGGGATAACCATCTGCAAGTAATTGACCATAAAAACATGAAGTCAAACAAATAACAGTATAGAACACCTACAAATGCGTAGTGCTAGCAATAACAATACCAACTTACCTAACACCGTACGGAAGATAAGGACGACTATAGGGAGGATTGATAGGTGCTATCTGGGGAAATCTATCCCAAGCCCAAATCACAATTAACGCAGTCAGTCCTCCAATAGCAACACGATCAATGTTGGTGGCCATGCATAGCTCTCGGTACAAATAACCTAGAACTGCAGAACCCCAACTATATTGACCGGTCAACTCAAAATCTTCAAGCAAAGGCAAGTACCTCACAGATACCCTACTGCTAGAGTGATCAGGAAGCATGAACCCTCCAATAAGCCTCAATATATATGCCCTAGCAAACCGAGTGATCTGCAGTGGAGTCTGATTATGCATGGCAATATGAGTGAAGTGTTCGTCCAACCAGCTCATCTTCAAGAAACTCCCTACAAAAGCCTCTGATCCTGGTCTCATACCTAGGCTGTCTTCCACAATCTAAGCCAAATCACCCCCAGTGGGTGCTATAACAGGTGTCCCATCTATGCGTAATCCTAATATAATAGCAACATCCTGAAGGGTAATAGTACACTCTCCAGGGGGCATGTGGAAGGTGTGCGTCTCGGGCCTCCACTTCTCTACTAATGCAGTAATCAATCCCACGTCTACAGGAAGCTTAGACAAGTTAGCCACTCCAACAAAACCCGCTAATTCTAGATGTGGAATAATTTCTTCCGGAATACCTTCTAATCCACCGGGAATATTTGGACTCTTCCTAACTCTCAATGTCGGGTGATCACGTCTATCCCAAATATGCTCAGAAACATGAATACTCTGAAACCGAAGAAGTGATAGATCTTCTAGCCCAGGATTAATAACCCTACTTTGTTGTGAAGATGATGCCATCTATACAAAAAAAAAAAAATATTAGTCAAAAAATTTCATTCAATAATAATAATAATAATAATAATAATTTATATTTTACTAACATATTAATAATACATAAATTTTATATAAATACAATTTTAAAATTTTACTTCAATATAAGTGTAAAAATTATTTATTACAATCAAACTAAGTATAAATTATTATATTTAGTTTTATATATTTATTTTATTTAACTCAATTTTTATTATTCTGTATTTTAATAAATATCTATAATAATTCCTGTAAACAAATTTTATAAATCTTAATTTAACCTATCTTCTTAACAATTAATTATAATTTTATATTTTAATTAACTATATCACATTTCATTTTTTCTAAAAACATATTAATCTATATATAAATAAATAAAAAATTATTTAAATTTTAAATTCTTTTTTACTAATCTTTAATAAACTTTCAGCATATTCTTCACTCACTCCCACTTAATTACCAAATCACTTACATACGTAGAGTTTAAAAATATTACAATATTATTATCAGATTTTCTAATTAACAAAATCAAATTAAACATAATATATAAATGCATGTTGTTATAGTTCCATACCTCTTACAATCGTAGCAGTATTTGATCCTTCACAGCAAATCAAAACAAATTTTGAAACTTCGACCATGATAGAGGAGGAGGAGAGACGGAGAAAATGGACGAAGAAAGAGGAGCAGAGACTGAGAACATGTAAATGGAAAGGAAGGAGGACAACGGTCAAAAGCGGTTTCGCCAGCCGCAGTGCGAAATGAGCTTTCGCCAGTAGCAGTGCGAATTATCTTAGATGTTCCCACATGTATCAAAAGCCCCCCTAGCCGTCTATTTTAAATCTAAGAGAGCAGTTCCAGCAGAACCGCTCTCTAATATGCACTTCTGAGAGCGGTTCCGCTGAGTGCATATTAGAGCAGAACCGCTCTATAAAATGGACTTATGAGAGCGGTTCAGAAGCAACCGCTCTCTTAAATGGACTTATGAGAGCGGTTCATTTGAACCGCTCTCTTAAATGAGTTATGAGAGCGGTTCTGCTGAAACCGCTCTCTAAAATAGACCTATGAGAACGGTTTTAATTTAACCGCTCTAAGAAGTCTTATTTCGTTCTTTTTCTGGCGAAATAGGTATTAAACAATTCAAAAATTACTACTTTCGCCAGTCGTTTGGCAAAATTTTGATCCAACGTGACAAATCACCCCAGATTGAGAAATTGTTTCAAATTTTCTATAAAATAATAAATTGTTTTTAATTTACAATATTTTAATAAATTTGCCGTGAATTGTACATGAAACTTATCATTTTATTCTTCATCTTTATTATTTTATAGTTGAAGGAAAAAAATAAGTACAAATATAATAATCTATTGTAACGATAAAATTATTGCAATCATGAATGAGAGTGCGGAATTTATATATAAGAAGTCAACTTGTATGTATATTCCTTATAATATATCATTTGAAAAATTATAAAATTAGTTTTACCAATATATTAAAGTGGAGACTCAAAAAATAATAGAGAGTATAACTTACATATGTCTAATCCAATCTCTATTTTCTAAAGTTTTATGCAATACTAAGGAATTGCAATAAGCATTAATGATGATATTTGTTACAACTGGGCGGTCACAACGGTACGGCAAAAAAAATGTTTTCAAAAATATCAGAGGAGTCGCTACCAAAGTTTATTTTAAGAAAAAAACCTTGGAAAAACTTAAATATAATACAATCTTTGAAACCAAAAAAGAGTTCGGGAGTCATTTACGTGTAGGGAAGGTATTAGTACCCTACAATGTCCGTTTAAAAACGGTTACCTAAAATTAATTGTGCAAATTTATTCTAATTTTGAAAAATATTTATTTAACCCCTAAACATTAATAATTTTATTTTAGAAGAAGAAATATTATTTATTGAAATATTATTTTGACTTGACGGGTCCGGTTCCCGCTCTTACGTATCCCCGGGTACAATGGGGAACTCAAAGCCACGTAGTTATATCTAAAAATTATGAAATTAGTTGATTATAATTAAGTTTGATAAAAGAAAATCTATTTTTAAATTAAAATTATTTCATAAAATTATAATGTTTAAGATATAAGATAACGCGGTTATAGATGTACCCCACGAGAAACAAGACAAAAGGTGAAAGAAGATCACACAACTATATCGCAAATCGTTAAAAATGCTTTATTCGTAAATGAAGTATTTGAATTTGAATTTTGACTATAATTAACATTGAAAGAGAATTTAAGATATCATAAGCTATACATAAATCTCTTATAATTTATTGAATAATTGAAGGCAATGTAAATTACAGATCGATGGTGTAAAAATTTTTTTATAAATAAGTAAAGAGATGTTTATTTATTTAATTGATCAGAATTAGAAATATGACTTAAGAAATTTTAAAATATGAAATTAATCCTATTTGATGAAAGGAGTAAATATATTTGAATTGTTAAAAAATAAAATATTTAAATAAAAGATTTAAACTTAGTTGAATAAATTTATTTTGTATAAAACCCAAGGTAACGTTGATATACATAGGTTTTAACAATTCATAATGCGTAAAGGTAGAGTCGCTACACATTAGCATTATAAATTATTGTGTTAATAAAAAATCTATTTAAATTGATTGATTAGTAAAATAGCAATTATAAGGAATACATTTGATTGATTATTAAGATAATTAAATTTTAGTAGCATATGATAAATTAATATTGCTTAAAGCCTCGGTAACATAGGTACACATAAACTTTATCAATTTATAATATACGATGGTAAAGAAGCTACAAGCTAATGTTATAAATTAATGCAAACATGTATTATTATTTACTTATTAACTTGAGAACATTATTCATTTATCACCAAATATTATACAATACAATGAATAATAATAATGCCAAATAAAAGATTAAAATGCAAAAATGATAAATAGTAAAATAAATAAATAAAGTAATATATATATATATATATATAATTACAATCATTATTTATTATTATTCTAGGTAAGGTTACATTTAAAAAGATATCAACAAATGAGGTAAACAATAAAATACTGCATTTGATATAAGATGAATGAATATGAGCAAAATGAAATGTGATTTTGAAACTTGGGGCATTGTGCATTGCGGTGGTGTTAGATGAATAAATGGAAAAGTTGCAACTTCCTGTTGCCGGTTCATTATTTTTTTTTATTTTTTGGGAGAATAGTTCTATTCCGACTAGCACTAGTTGAAGTTATATTGCTGTTCTATAAATTTGGTTCCGTTTTTTATGTTTTCTTAGTAATCCTGTTAGTAGGAAAGACTAAACAACTGCTGTTATTATTTAAAGCACAAATGTTTCATCCAAAAAAAAAATAACGTATAAAAACATTTGATGTGATTTGATATCAAGATTGCAGGGGCGCATGAGCTATTGTATGAGTAGGTGACGTGAAATAATACCGACATCGAGCCTCACGCTTGCTTTATCTTTTTTCTTTTTTTTAACTTATGTTATAAAATTTTTTTAAGTAAATAAACGAACAAAGTAAAGAAACAACAGCTAGTAAGTATATAACTACTTTAAATATCTCTCTTCACTTCGCTTTTCGCATCCACACACACAGAACAATTAATCTTTGCAGCGACAGATAGATGAGTCTTATGCTAAGAGGAGAAGATAAACTGGTCCAGCAACAGGAGATAACAAAATGGCAGAAATGATGTTTCTCTTCTTCTCTGATTTCTTCTTCTATTTCAAATCTTACGCTTCTAAAATTTTTTGCTCCTTGTCGCCTCCTTTCTCTTCCTCCGAAAAGCTATCCTCCGAAAAATCCTTCACAGAGACTTGTTGCCTCTCCTTTGAAAATGTTTGAAAATTTTATCTCTATTTTTTTTTTTTGCTTTCTTTCTCTCCCCTCCAAAAAAACTCTCGTCTGTATTTTTTACTTCTCCTTTTATACTTGTACTTTTAGGATTTTTACAAAATACCAAAAGTTTTGAGTATTTCCATATTCATGCTTAAGACTGATTTTTGATATTGGGTATGAGCTTGCATAGCGTAGGATTTTCACTTCCGGAACCAAATTCTTTTTTTTCAAAAAAATTCTATTTTTTTGTAAAACGATTTTATTTTATTTTATTTTAAATTTTGGAGGCAATATGGGGAAGGCAAAAATCGGTATTCACAATATTCAAAAAATATTTTAGATTTATCATGAGAGTTATGTCTAAACTCTTGTCATTGGGTTGTATATTATTTTTAAATAAATTAGAATTTGTGCGTATGAAAAAGCTGATAATAAAAAAGAAGAAGTATATATGAACATCATTCTTAATAGAGAGGTAGAATAAGAACAGAATAACACTGAAAGTGATGATGACGACTTTAAAAAAAATTATAGAAGTAAGAAAGATAGTGATGATGAGGACTCTCATTTATTAAACTAAGTGATTGACTAACATTTTTGTTTGAGAAACTATCATGCTTTAGATCTTAATGTTATGTAAACACTTAAATTTTTAAAGTATGCTAACTTGTAGACATGTTATATTATATTTATACTTATACAATTGTTTTAATGCTTTATGGTCTAGTTTGTAGTGGCGATATTCTTGTTGCTATAGTCATTTTAATTAATAGTATTTCTTAATTGAATATTAAACCTTGCTTTAATATTTATTATATTTAGTTATTTTTATTTAATTAATGCTGGATTAACTATATAATATTATGTAATATATTAGGTATTTAATTAACAAATGATGAAAATATAATTAAACATAATGATTAGCCAACATCATTAAATATTTAACTAACAAACAAAAACCTATATTATAAATAAACTTTTTTTTGTTAAACATAAACATCGATGATGAACATGGAAATTATATTACATTCAAACCATAGATACTCTACGTATAGCCTAAAAAAATATTTATCCTCAATTCTCTTTTTTCTTTTAATTAATGAAGGACTATATTTGTTAGTGACATGAGTAAAAGGACATAATATGCGTGAAGAAAAATTCTTGTCTTCCTCCTCTACGTCTATCATCTCCCACTCCCTGTTTATTTGCAGCCTCATCTTCGTGATCCTCATATGGTGTAGGTTCAGTCTTTGCCACATTCATAGATGTACCTTTAAATGTGTTATCTTGTTATGTTATCTCACAAGACATGATTGACATGGAGCATTGCTCACTTGATGAGATAATTTATAAAGAATTAGCACCACACTTAGTTTCACAAGTTATAGTCAATACCATCTTCACAATCAACAATTACTTCTTTCATGGTTGCCTCATCATCATTGAAAATGGGTTGAGAATGAATCAATGTAAAGTCATATGTGCATAGTAACTCAAGATATTCCACTTTCACTGTTGCAATCACCATATCTTTTCCCTTGTGATATCTTCTATCCACAGACATTCATGATGGTTCATGCTGTTGAGATTGTTCATCATATTGAAATGGATGTTACTAATTCACGTGAGTCTTTATTGTGAACTCTCTTAAGACTTTGGGATGGGAGAAAAATAGACTGAGAAAATCTATATTGATGCATTATATGGTAAACTTCATGTCACTTTATAACTTTAAAGCATATCAATTGGGTTTATAGTTAACCAGAATACACATTTGCCTCTCATGTCATTTAGAAAAACAACATGATTATTTAATTGAATTTTAATTTTATAATTTTCACAAAAAATATGATTAAAAAATATGCCAAGAATTATACATAAATTAAAATTAATTGACAGTTTAATTTTCATGTTATTAAATTACTAAATAACTAACCATTAACATTTAATTATCATATTGTTTTAAAATAAAGGTTTTATTAATCATCTATCGATTATATTTTACATTTTTTAATATTAACTTTTAGTATTTAAGAAAATAAATAAATCTTTTTTTAATTTCTTACAACGTTAAAAACTTCAATAGATTTATTCCATATTTTTAATTTATTTAAAATTACTATAATACTTAATTTAATAATTAATATCAAATAACATATTTTATCAATAAACATATTACTTAATAATAATTATTCTCTATTAAATTTATATTCAATTTAATTATTTTATCAAAAAATAAATTTTACTTTAAATTTTTCATAAAAAATTATTTACCCCTCAAATAAATTATTACTAACTAAAATTTACTATCAACAAAATTTAAACTACAAAAATACAATATTACAATAACTTACATTAATTAAAAAAATTGACAACAATATAATAGTAATAATACTTATATTTTGATTACCTACAAGTTTCGAAACGTGCTTCTACATATCCATGGTTATCACAAACTATCTTAATCAAAATTTTAAAGCACAATATCTTTTATAATTAAACTAAATTTTTTACTCTCTTATTTTTGTGAAAGGTATTTTGTTTTCTTTTCTTTTTTTCTTTCTTCACAACTTTTTTCTTTAATAACTCATAATCCACGCATAATGCTAATTATGAAAGTTTGACTTGCAATCGCAAAAATTGTCAATAGTGAGTTTTTTAAGTTTGAAATAGTTTCTTTCTTCTATCAACTTTCACATGACTTTCTTGAGTATGATAAAAGTTATTGATAATAATTTTTTAGGTGTCTAAATTGATATGACTTGATGTGTTATGTACTAAATATTTTCTTAGAATGTCAAAATTAGTGTTAATTTTTAAAAAGACTAAAAGGTACCATTTTACTTTAAACGAATAACTACATTTAAATTATTTATTTTAGACCATGAAAAAATTGCTAGTAATAATTTTTCAAAATCATATATATGTAAATATACTATAAATATCATATTAGTATAATTATATAATTTAAGCCTTATATTTAAATTAATAATTCCAAATTGTACATGCTCAATAATATTTTAAGGGAAAAAAAAAGAGACAAGCTTATTAATGAAATTTATCATCATTATATATATATATATATATATATATATATATATATATATATATTAAAAACTAGTTAAGAACATAGCTAGAATTATAATTAAATATATTAATGAAACATTTTATTACTTTTTTTTAATGTTTACCTATTATCTTTAAAAAGTTTATTAATATTAATCTCTTCTTTTCCACATGTCTATACATATAGATCGTGCTTGTGTCACTTATAAAATTAAAGAAATTAATTTTTACACCACTACTTTTAATGTTTATTACACCACTCTTTTTTTTTTTATCACTTCCAAAATATAATTCGAGATAGTATCAAACAATTTTTTAAAAAATAAACATTTTTTTCATAAAAAAAGGTGGCAGTAATAAATGGGCTCACAACAAGCCCACACTATATAGCATAAATGGGCTTTATTAAGTCCATAAACAGAATCCGAATTCCCATTCGGACAATCCATAACCCCGATGGATACGCGTCGTGAACTACGAGAATCCACCCACCAACCAGTTGCTGAAACAAGCGATTTATACGAGAAAGCAAGTAGCGTGAACAGATTGAGCTGTGAATGTTCATTGGGGACCCATGGATTCAGCCACTCTGCAAATGCCCACGTCAAAATTTGTTCTTTCCCCGCTTGCTTCAGTGGTGAAGGTTGCCACTCCAAAGAAGAATACCATTAATTTTGGGTCCAATTTCAGAAGAAGTGTCTCCAAAATTCGGCCAAAAAAATATATTGTAATGTTCAATTTCTTGATGCCTCACATAAATGTTTTTGTTTTTGTTTTTGTTTTTATTTTAAATTAAGGATGGCTTTAGGATAGAACAAATATCTGCAGTGATTTTTTATTTTAATTTTTTTCTTTATTCCAATTTGAAGATCCTAATGAGTGGGTATAGTTGGCCTGAATAATATTATATGACCCATGCATTATTTGGCATTAGTTAATGGTTATCCCTTGCTACCTTTCTTGGGGAAGAAAATTTGAATGTTGTTGTGACTATGGAAGTTTGATTTTTGACCTGGGGGTGGAAGGGTAGTTTTGGTTTTTGAGAAAGGTTTGTCCTTTGGTTTGTGTATTGCCAAATGCTTGCTCATTAATAACTAGTTAGTCATACAATGAGTTAATGACCTTGGTAAGTTTCTACTTTGAGAACAGTTCTTTTATATTTTTTTTGTTGAGATTTGAGAAATCATTCAATCACCCGCTGAATTCCGGAGAAAAACTCTTAAATCAATGGGACTTTGCTAATAAGGAGTATCCATTAATGAATTTTCATACAAGGATCAAAATCTGGGGATTAAAATGAAAAGGGTACCAAGAGTATGGACACAATTTATAATTAAATCTTATATTAAGGAGGATCTTATGAGCAATGTTACAATCTCACATTACTTGTTTCACTCACTCTTCCAATCTTGGGTAGGATCTCCATCTTGACCACCTAGCATTTGTCATAGATGGTGAGAAAGTTAAATGGAATATGATCTATCAATTTTGCATATTATGTAGCCTTAACTAATTTAGATACCACTGTCAATAAGCTTTTATGTGCAATGAGCATAGTAACTTGGTAGTTCATTGGATTGAACACTTGGTGTTGTGTATGTCACATGTTAATTTTTTTTGAGTGGCTCCAAATATTCTGTTTTACCTTGAGGACAACTGTACTACATTAATTTTTTTTTGGAATTATTTTCAATGTTTCTACTCATCTATTGATGTGTTTCTAGGGAAATGTACGTATGATATCATTTTTTCAAGTTGTTTTAGGGGAAGAGGAGGATCTTTTTACAAAATAATTTGGACTTTTCATTTTAGTAAGATCTGTACATTCTTGTATATTGAAATGCATAGAACATTTTTCCATCAATTATTGACAATTTAGGCACACACTCTTTGTACAACGTATTCCTTTGCTGTCAAACTGGCCTTATACAGTTTTTGTGATTTTTGTTGCCTGCTAAACAAAGCCTAAATGTATTAAGGTACACATACATTATGGATAAAATTTTCTTACATGTGTATCTATGTAAAAGCGCTGGAAGGGGAATTATGTTATAACAGCTGGATAATTTTTCTTAGGAGGGGTTATATGTGGCTGTATTCCTTGGATGTCAATAAGACTGGAGAGATTTTTTTCATACTACATATGCAGAAGTTCATCCTTTCTTTGATGGATGTCTGAGTTTACTATTTCATTATGTTTCAGTCTGTGTCAAGTTTAAAGGCAGATGAGAACAGACGCAGAAGTAATCTTGAATCCCTGTTTTGTTATGATAAGGCTATTCCAGAAGAAAGAATTGAGAAGCCTATTGGGTTATTTTTGGCAGAGAAAGCTATTGGTAACAATCCCCGATGCACTGATTGCCAAGCCAAAGGTGCCGTGCTTTGCACCACTTGTGCTGGTTCTGGTCTATACGTTGACTCCATATTGGAAAGCCAGGGCATAATTGTTAAAGTTCGTTGCTTAGGTATATTCTCTTTTCTCGTTTGAACAACCATCTTTATGTGCTAGGGTTGAATGTACTCTTACTTGTGTTTCAACTGTATATGCTGCATTTTTGGTATTTGGCATTGTTACCTATTGCACTTTCTTTTGTTTGTGACTTGTGTGATGCACTTGATTTTGTTGATAGCTGAATTTGTCTTAAACTTTCACTTGTTTATTTTTTCAGTTAACTTAGTACTTAGATGAGCAACTGGAGCTTGGGCTTTTGTGAGGAATTTGAATGAAACAATTTTGAAAAGTTTGCAATCCTTTTGACATGTAGAGAATTGGCATAACTTGAATTAAAACAAAATTCCATGATACGTGGTGCAAATTTGGCGTGACATTATTTCTATGCTTCCGAGCATCTTTACTGGTGCAAATAGGACTAATTTTAGTCATATTCATTTAACAGTATGCTTCTGAGCATCTGTATTGGTGCAAATAGGATCAGGTGTAGTTGGCTTTCCCACTGCACCACATGCAGCCGTGATCCTGCAGCTGCAAATTGCCAAATTATGTTTCTAACCTTTTTTATAAAGCAAGTGTCATTTACGTGTGCAGTTATATGTTCAACTGTTGATGAATTAAATCCTTATTTGTTACTATGTTTTTATTGATAATTGCTGTGCCTGTGTAGGTTGCGGGGGAACTGGTAATATAATGTGTACAGAATGTGGGGGACGAGGTCATCTGGGACCCAAATGATCAAAGACATTTTAGAATTTTGTTGTCCGACCCGTATGTAATATTTTGGTTGTTATTGCTTGTAACCATGATCATATTTTTTAAAATCAATGACTGGTTATGACTAAGACCCAAGATATCTACCAAAGAATCTCAGCCATTCTCAATCCATGAGGTAAAGCTCAGATAGCTGTAATATTTATTCTTATTTGTGGTTTCTCAAAAGTATTTTCTTTGCTCACAGAGATTACCTGTAATAAATTTACACGAAAGTGACATATAGTTGATTTACTCCTTTAAGGAAAATTTTCCCATGAACATTATGTCCCTTTGATTTGTAGAATAGTTGGGAACTACATTAAACTTATTAATGTTGTGGTGCAGGGATTTTTTTATATATATATGATATATGGTTTTGTTGTCTCGATTGTATTCTATCAGCTATGACCATCATTCCTATCTAAATGGAATGGTTGTTCAATGTATGTAGTTGTGTATATTCATGTATAAAAATAAGGAACCGGCATCATCAAGATTTCTCATAATTCAAGACCGTCAAAATTATATCGATATATACAATACAAAATTGTTCGTTTAACAATGTGACCATCATCGTACTTGGGTAGTGTAGCCTTCTTGGCTTACTGATCCTTTAGTATTTAGGCTCGGCTGAAATTATTAGCTCTGAATATTTGCATAGCTTGAGATCTATTAAGCTGCTCCAAGCGTACTGGAATAGTGGAGTCAAATTGAGCGCTCTGTGGATTTTCTGCATAAGCAACGTAGTAAGCTGAAACACATGCTTGTAGCCATGCAATAGCCAACCGACACTGCATAAGAAGTTAAGCACATTACAACCATAGTAAGTGTCGTTTATCAAAGGTAGAGAAGTCAAGCAAATGGTAATTATTATCAATGCAGATGAAAATGTAAGTATATGCAAGTGATTGTTAGTACATACCATGAAATAGCCAATGAGGAAAGCATAAATGGATACTTCTATGGCATAGTTCTTGTGCATTAGGAGACTCCAAATTCCACTCACTAGACTACAAATTGAACCTGCTGCAACCCCACTAAGAAAACAGAAAGCCCCAGTGAGATCTAAGTCTATCAGTTGCTCCAATCCAACTCTAATGAACATCTCCCAAGTATCAGAAGATGCCTGCACAAAACCCTTGTTATATACCCCAACATGCACAAAACCCCATCTGTTCCCACAGGTCACAAGAAGAGAGGCAATCCCCATATAGCAACTAACACAGGAAAACATAAACTCATCTGTATCTCCTCCAACCAAACTCGTGGATCGTGCAAAACCCCGGAAAAGTCCAATAAGGGGGACAAGGATGGAGCCTATGGAAACACTTCCAGTTAAGTACTTGATTGTGTCACCAAATGCCACTCTAGTGTCCATGTCAACTCCTCCAGCAAAATGCATATACTTGACCCTTGAAATGGTGACATACATTGCATTTTTCAGAAACTGCAGAGTCCATCCCAGGCTCAGCAAGATCACCAAAATGAAAAAGGACGCTAGTTTGGTTCTGCTTTCAATAGCCCTAGCTCCTCCTATCCCAGACACCAGGAAACAGCAGTAAAGGATACCAATGACGATTGATGTAAGTGTTAACTCCTTGGTTTTAGTAGGAGGAAAAGCTATTGAAACTGACAAGACTTTGGTGGCATATTCAAATCTGGTCCTGACCCAACAACCATAGAGGGACTGAATTAATGCAGAAACCAAAGCAATTACACCAGCTGCTAGACTCACTGCAGAGCCAATGCACACAAACAGAACTCCCATTGCACATGTTAGGAGAGGACTCAGCCAAAATGCTAACTTGACAGCCCTTGTGGGGTGGCGTGCCGTGATCCACTGCCATGTGAAACCAACAATTCCAGCACATGCAGTTGATGCTAGAAGTGGGGGGTACCACTTCTGAGGGTGAAAATGGTGGGTGTGAGAGTCGGAGACAAGACCATATATGGTAAGGAAAATCACAAAGACTGCAACTAGGAACAAATGCAAGTAGAAGAGAATTTCAAAGACCCTTCTTGCTGTTTGAGCCGCCACTGTTCTGTTGGGGAAGTTTGAATCTTGTGCCTGCACCAGAAATTACCATGTTGACTTCAGTTTATTCAACCATAAGATATAACAAATGCAAGTAGCAGAGAATTTGGAAGACCCTTCTTGCTGTTTGAGCCGCCACTGTTATTCTGTTGGGAAAGCTTGAATCTTGTGCCTGCACCGGAAATGACCAAGTTGACTTCAGTTTATTCAACCAAAAGATATATAACAAATGCAGTGGCTGTAACTGTAGTTCACATGTGAGAATGGTTTCTATAGATAAAACAAGCAATAGGACTGGTTCAGAGTACTACATGAAATGGATGTGTCGGCAGCAGATAAGCTTGTTGGGGAAGCAAACCAAAAGAACAAGAAATGAAGCAAAAGGAAGTTACAATTAAAGTTAAAGTAAAGAACAAAGGATTAAAGGAACAAAGAGAGAAAGAAAGAGAGAGATAAAACCTTGATGGGGTCTGTGAATGGAAGCCTGCGTTGTTGCTGAACTTGTTCTTGGATGATCTGTGGTTGTGTGGTGATATTAAGGTTGTTCAATATGGCCATGTTGACTAAGCTATTATTATTGCTTTTGAAATGCATTCCCAATTCCATTCTCCAAGTGTTTCTTGGATTTTCTTTCACTTTCCTGGCCCCCACTAATGAGCCAATCCAGATGGAAAATTCTCAATCCGAGTCTCAGAAACCTTAAAATATGACTCAAGTGTTGTTTCTTTGCGCTGAATCAAAGTAACATTTCACCCCACACTAGCTACACAAGCAACTGACTCGGTCCTCTTTCTTCTCTCAAATCATTTTTCTATTATATAGTCTGTTAATATACAAATATTTATGAATGGAGTAGGAGGGTGGGGTGGACTTGTGCATTGGTTGTTGTGTCATGTGATGACGTGGCATGGTGACGTGGACCTACAAGTCAGACATGGTGACGTGTTGAAATGCAAGAGGGTCCCTTTGTTCTGTTTCTTGTGTTTGTGGTCCACGTTACTCTGTTAGGTTATTTCCCGGATTAAAAGGAGGTGCTTGTTTGTTCAGTTCACCAACTAGTCCTAACTAATTTTCACTTCTTCTCCAATACCTATTTCAATGTCGGATATTCAAAACTTAACAATTTATGTCCCATAAGTAGTCAAAAAATGACAGAATATTTCTTGTGCAAATAAAAAAAGTATCATTCTTCACATCCAAAGACTAAAGAGCATATATTTATTTTAGTATCTAATTTATAAAAACATCAGTTTAATTTTTTTTAATTACTTATTTTAGCTACTTTTTACTTTATCATTATTATTATTTTGTATTGAAAAGAACTAAAATGAACTTCATTTTATAAAGTTCAAAATTAAAGTGAGATTCTTAAAAACTCATGAACTAAAATATTAATGCTTATAATTTAAAGGACTAAAGTCAATATTCACTTTAAAAACAAGTTATAAAATATCAAAGCTAATTTATCCATACAAATCTTAAATTTGAGGGGTTGCTTCAAAATCTAGTCAAAAGCTTTGCTTCATCAGCTTAGAATGTTCAATGAGCAAGATGTATTAAATAATCAAATCCATTTTATCATCCAATAAAGAATGGACCATCCTTTTAGGCTATTATCGGTACATTTGATTTAAGTATTTAATGAGATAAGGACCACTAGGGGAATAAACTTGATTACCCACATAGTTTTACGTGTAAATATAATATGCCATTTTTTTTTTCTCTAGAGGGATAAATTATTCTGATATACCATTTTATTTTTAGTAGCGAGTTAAAAGGAAAGAAAGTGAAAATTTCTATTACGTGTATTTTAGTTTTGGAATATAATATAAACTTTGGGATCGAAATGTAAAGGAAAAATGTAACAAAAAATAAAATCACGTTAACGCAGAATCAAATATTAAATCCATGAGATGGTTATGATTATGGTCTTATTTATTCACTAAGACTTCAATCATTAAGTATCTTATTGTTAAGTTACCAACTTCCTTAACCGTTCAACACACGTATATGTCAATTCCTATAGTTGGTGATATGACTTTGTGGAACCTTGACCCCAGAAGAACATATATAATTATTAAAATAAATAAATTTCTTGATACATTAAAAATTGAATATGAAAAAATAAAATAAAATAAAATCATTGAATTCTGTGCTTACATAAAAATTGAATAAATCTCAATTAAAAAAGTTGGAGTTTTAAAAATATGCATTTTCATCCTTCTCTGTATTTTTCATCAAACACAAATACAATTGTCATGTTAAACTCGTATAATCAATTTTCACACTAAATCATTAATGGTCACTTGAATTTAACATGACAGGTTTTGAAGAATAATAACAACACTTGAAAAGTTTTAAAATTAGGTTGCATATTTTTTATATATAAAAATTCCATTTTTTTATATATCAAAATTAAAAGGGTAATTAAGATTAAGTTGAAGGAGATAAATCGAATTTTTTTTTGTAATTTTTTTTTTGGTTCTGTATTTTTTCAAAACTCGTTATTTTGAAGTATTTAGGTTACGGTTAGATAAAGTATTTTAAAATTACTATATTTCATGTATTTAAATATTAAAAAAATAATACTAAAATACTATAAGATTTTAACAAAATAATTATGTCAAATAAAAAAATTAAATAACTTATTTTTAGAAAAAAATTAAAAATTTCTTGATATTTATTTATTTATTTATTATTCGTAGCTCGTTTCATATTTGATTCTCACCTTAAAGATCTATCATTATTAATTTAATAATTTTAAAATTTTTCATTCAAATACAACTTTAAACTTAATTCAACCGCACGCAATTGATTTACTTTTTTAATTCAAAAAAATAAAAATTTTATATATTTTTATAAAAAATAACGTAAAAGGATTTTCAATATATTATTTAAGTATGAAAAATCAAAGGTCATGGAGTTTAAAATACTTTTTCAAAATTGAGTATAAATCAACTTGATAAAATAATCAATTTTTTCTAGCTCAATTTTCTTCCGCTCATCATTATTTAGGATTCTAACTTTATTTATATTTTCATAAGAATTAACAATTTAATTAATTGAAAAGATACTAGTAAATAATTACAATTCATGTTAGTGACTCTAATGGGCCAGCATATTTTATTCGAGAAAACATCAATCACTTCTTCTTTTGTCATTATTTACATTTTAAGCTGCTATATAAATTTGTAAGTATGAAAGCCAAACCAAAAATATAAATGGAAAATACTCAACGCGAATTTAAACTTTTACACTTTATAAGCAAATTATGAACAATATTTACTTCACATATTATCCATATAAGAATTTTAAATTTGCTTACGTCAAAGATAGTTAGATATGTACAAGTACTCTCACGTTAAAATGACAGAGTACCAAATAATTCAATGTTTTTCTAATTAATAATTTTGGAGGGGATGATGATTGTTGCATTGTTGGTGGAGAGGTTACGTAAAATAATCAATAATACTGAGTCTGCTTATTCAAAGAGTTTACAGTATTACAATAATAATGCTTAAATTGTGTACGGTATATTGTTACTTACGTTAATATTTTGTATGGTTTGGCTACAAGTAAGTGATTGATTGATTGAGCTTATTAATAACTTGAAATATGCAGATAATGCTAATTGAAGAATTCCTAGACTAAGATGTGTGAATATGATGTACAAGATTTTGAATTTAAGAGTAATAGTGCACCAATTGACGTAGGTTCAAGAAAGTTTTAATTAATCTGATGAAAGTGTGTCTAATTAGAGAAATCAAGAATTGGGTGCAAGTTCTTGATCTATATCCCATGTCTTGGGACCTCATGCTCATCTCTTGAAAAATGGTCATTTTCTTATAGCTTGCACAACTTATTAATAGGTGAATTGGACCATTACTTAACATTGATGAATTGGGAACTGGTACAAATGGAATAATGGTAGTGATTTTGGATCCTAGTCCCTTATGATGGAAAAGAAGGTTCAAGATCTTCATTGAGAAAAATTGGCAAAGTTTATATTGTACAATCATTGGATTGGACAGAGGAACTTGTAAATAAAGTGACTTCAGATCTAATAACTTGTGATGGTATGTTCACTTTCTTTTGAAGTCTTTTGAAGTAATTTAGAAAGTTCAATCAGACAACATTTTATTGAACAGTATCTCATAAAAATTATTTATACATTTTCACCCATTTTTTATGTAAAATTTTTATCTTATTATTTTTTTTCTAATTCATCGTGTATAATTTTTATGATTTTTCATAAAAAAATATATTCAAATTCGTATTAATTCAATGATTTTGCATATTAGTTATCTCTTTTCATTAAATTATTATTTGTTTCTATAATATTTTTCAATATATAAAGAGACAATGAATACATAAAGGATATATATTAAATGAAACGATGATTGTTTCTCACAAATTTTTCTTTTCCCTTGCAACTATCACCGATTGAGCTGACGGCAAATCATCATCAACTTAAATTTGAGAGTACAAGGAAATCAAACTAAGATGAAGTCAATTATTTTAAATTTTTCCCGTTATCCTCCTTAATTTGAAAAAGATTGGATCCACTTTAAATAAAGCTTACGTTTCTTCTGTAGTTAAGGAAAATCTGAATACAACCACCCAATTTGAAAGAGATAGGGACATCAAAACTAACAACTCAAAAACCTGCCTAAATATATAGCACCCTTGTTATATATTTACAAAAATAAAAAATAAATTGTATGATGATCAAATCGTAGCTATGAAAAGATGAAATTCAGTATGGGCCATTCAAAGGATTAATGAAAAAAGTTGTAGGTTTGTAATTCATATGGATCATGTGAAATATGATTTCCCCAAAAAGGACTATCAACCACACTAGCTTCTCAACAACCCAACATACCTTAGAGGATAATTTTGTTCTACCACCTTCATAGAGGATAATTTTGCTCCAAATGCAATTCCACACTAAAACTATGTTAGTATTGAATGAAAAAATAAAATAAATTAAAAGGTAACTGAATAAAAGTTGATATCATGTGTGAAATTTAGATATTTACATGTATTAATAACTTTTTATATAATATAAAATTGAAAAATCAAATTATTAATTATTTTATACTAATTTTATAGTTATATATATCAAATTTCATATAATTTAAATATTTATAAATGTATCATTCAAAATTTAATATTTACTCATATTCTAAAAATATATTACGTATTTAAATAAAATAATGTGATAAAATATTTATTTATTTTATTTTTTATAAAAAATATATTTAATAAGAACCTTCAAATTTCTTTATATACATATATATAACTTATATGTTTCCTCGTTTACTTTCAAATTTGAGTACAAGAATTGTAGATAAATATAATAAAGTTGAATCGATTGAGTTTCACTAAATTTTATTTAACTTTTACAATTTAAACAATGATTTATTTATTTATTTCATTTTTTTATAAATCTAAAATATGAGTTCTCTTTAACGTGAATTTAAGTCATAATTTACTTTATTATGAGCGAGTAATCTATCATATTAAACTTAACTGCCGTTGGTTAACACCTGTCCAAAGGGCAATGCAGGTAATCATTTGATCTAGAGCAAAAAAAACAAGTCCCTTTATGATAAATTTTGTTATTGAAATGATCAATGAATCACATCGACCTGTAAATCACTTGTTTTTTTGGAACAACAAGCTATAAATTATAGAGGCCATTGAACAAGGTACGGTTTTCTAACTTGCAACACCTCTATGTGAAGCCAAAAATAGGGTAATTGTCTTTACGATTACCGAATCTCTCGTTGGGGAAACCAAAGACCATTAGCCAATCAAATAATGTATTCAAATAAATTATTTCATGATATTTAGAATCAGAAGACAACAACATGATAACAACAATGTTAAGCATAGTATTTGACAACAGAAGATATATGTGTTTTTCGTTTTGTTCAGGTAACCAATGTAAGCCAGAAGATTCCCTACGTAGATTAGGCAACAATGAAATAAATTTGAGTTTGAGCTACTTGCTATGGACACTTGTCTCCCTCTTGCATATGTAGTCCGTGGAAAACGATGTTTTTGTCATTTACCTTTACCGTCTTGCACTGTAAAATTTAAAAAAAAAACCTTTTCACTTTTTTTCTGGTAGTTCTTACCTAGTTTTTCACAGAGTGGGATATTAGAGGGTTAATAGAATTTTTTTATATAAAATTTAGAGTGATTGAATGAGGTATTTTAAGTGAGTATTTTTTTTTAATTATAATTTTATAACTTAAAATTTGTTGTTTGTATTTTAATTTTAAAATATTTAAAATTTTAGAAAATTTTAATAGAATAAAATAAAAAATTATAAATCTTTAAAAAACTGATATTTAAAATTATATTTTTGTATTTTTTTTATTTGTTACATTCTATTTAGTTATATTTAATTTAATAATTTATATATTTTTAATTAATTTTTTCAAATATAATAATAATTTTATTTTTTAAAGAAGATTAGTAATTTAATTACTCTATCTAAATAAAAAATTTAAAATAAAAAGATTAAAATAATAAAAATTTAAATTTTTTAAAATTTTAAATATTTATAATTTTTAATTATCTCATCCAAACACAAGATTATATTAATAAATATCATATTCACTTGATGAACCCAATTTATTGTTATACAACAATCTTGCTAGAGGTAGTTGGTGTATTGTAATAAGATCAGAAAGGCAGTGAAAATAAAGGGGGCATTATATATAATAAATATTTATTAAAATTGTTAAATATTTCAAAATTTAATATATTGATAATATTAAATATTATAATTTTTAATAAAATTTTATTATTTATTATTTTTTAACATGTATCTTTCAATACATATTAAAAAAATTATTATTTGAAAATTAAAAAATTAATTATAATATTTTTAATAAAAAGTATATCTTAATAAAATATAATTTAAATACAGATCTTAATTATATTTAATTACTTAAGAAAAAGTTGGGTAAATTGCTGACCCAGGAATATTTGTGGACCGTGGCACAGAATGAGTACCTCTTTGACATCGGAACTAGGAAGTAGACAGTTAGGCTGTAGTAGTGACGCAAAGTGTAAAGTGCTCTAACTGGAATCCACTTCTTCTAATCTCAACCGACAATTCACTGACAAATGGAGGCCTTGAGTTCAAAGAAAAGAACCCCAATATGTAAACCACACTATTCCTATTCCTAGTTTCCACTCACAATTATAATATCTTCACTTCACACTCCTCCTTTGGTCCCAGTATCATTAACAATTCAACAACCTCCTCTTCCTCCCTTTATAATTACTCAGCTTCTTCTCCTAACTTCCCTTCTCACCTTCACAAATTTTCATTTTTTATGTTATCTTTGTACTTTTTCCCCATATGGGCATCAAAATCTTCATGGTTTCCTTCATGGTAACCTCAATATTGTTCTTTCTGCTCTTCATTCCCACTAGATTAACCATACAAATCGCCAGCCTCAGGCCTAATATGAACTACTTGAGTGTCCCTACTAGAAGTAGCAAGGCTTACCCGGCCACTTTTGCCTACCTGATCTCGGCATCAAAAGGAGATGTTGTGAAGCTCAAAAGGTTGCTGAGGGTGTTGTATCATCCAGGGAATTACTATTTGATTCATATGGATTATGGGGCTCCAGAGGCTGAGCATAGGGATGTGGCAGAATATGTGGCTAATGATCCTGTTTATGGTCAAGTGGGGAATGTTTGGATTGTGGGCAAGCCTAATTTGGTCACATACAGAGGACCAACCATGCTTGCTACCACTCTCCATGCTATGGCAATACTTCTCAGGACATGCCACTGGGATTGGTTTATTAATCTTAGTGCATCTGATTATCCCTTGGTTACACAAGATGGTATGGTGAGTGCCCTTATTTAATCTTAGAATTATTTAATTGGTGCTTATTTATTTGTTTTGGCAGATAGCATTGTTTTGTTTTTCTGCCACTGACTCTTTCTTTGATTGTGTTTGTGAAATAATCTTACCAGTGTTGATTGCAAATGGTTAATGATTGACATTTGATTCATATTGGTGTCTGTGAACCTCTTTAAACTTGCAGATCTGATCCAAGCGTTTTCTGAGTTGCCAAGGGGTGTTAATTTCATACAGCACACCAGTCAATTGGGTTGGAAATTGTAGGTGGTGTTGTTTCTTTATTAGATTTTCTGTTTCATGCCTTATGATATGCGAAATCATGACTATTTTTTAAAAACCCACTTTTAGGAGCAAGAGAGGGAAGCCAATAATCATAGACCCGGGGCTTTATAGTCTCAATAAATCAGATATTTGGTGGGTTATTAAGCAGAGGAGTCTACCAACATCTTTTAAGCTTTACACAGGTTTTCTTCCCCTTCAATCTCCTTGCTTGTTCTAGACTATGGTGTTTTGTGTGGTGTGTTTGTAAAAGTGCATTATTCTCTGATTCCGTTCACAGTTCACGAATTTGTATTTTACCTTTTTCGCCAAGTATTAAAGCGGCATATATGTGTGGACCACGTGATGCTCTGAAGTCTGAGTACAGTACCCATGAGTTGTGTGCATACATCAATGTCATAATTTATTGTCGTCGCCTATATTTGAACTTATATGATTTCGTATCTATATTTTATGTTTCCCCTCTTATAATTACTTATTGGTATAGATTAGTTTAACATATGCATTATTCAGTTTATAGAATTTTGGATTAGAATTCAATAATTTATTTATTGAATGTGATAAAGGTCAAACATTTGAACTAACACAGACCTAACATGACATCTGAACCTATAAGCCATCAGAAATTTACCTTGTGGTTGAATTTAGAGACTTGGGATTAAACTATATTGTTCTTATTTCTTGATGTTTTAAAAGTGTCCCTTTCAATTATTGCCCCCAATTCGTAGGAGGTAATTAAATGGATGGTGATAACATGGCATTGATGTGCAAAATATAGCCTCTAGAACTTTACCTACCTATGTTAGTTGAGTGAAACCCCATAACCTCCTCTTACCCAATGATTTCTAGCGTATTTAGCTATTATACTTAATTCTTACACGACTCTGAATTTTAGGAGCATTACAAGAAAAGAAAAACTTAGAAATAAAAATCCAAAGCTTATCTCATGCATGACACATGATTGTTTCTGAATTATTAAATTAAATAAAGAAAATGTTTGATGTAAGTAACAGTGATCAGGTCTGCCTTTAATTTGGAAAACACAAATGTCACATCCTAGAATATAGAGCAGAGGAGAAGCCATGTACTTGGTGGTGGTGCAGTGCTGTGTGCAGTGTGCAATGTCCATTTCTTGTAGATGCACATGCACGATGCCTTTCTTTTAGATAAGTTTTTGATTCTAGCAATGCATGTGCCTTCTTGCTTTTAGAGAATCAAGATGGTGTATACATGCCTTAATTAGTAACATCTATCCCCCTTTGTTTTGTTTTGTTTATCTTTTCAAGATTATGTCAGTCTCAATTTCCAACTCATACGGGTACATTTGGTTATTATTCTTCTGTTAATCCATTTAAGTGGTACTCCTTTTTGTTTTCATTTTTTCTTTTAATCTGGAAACCAGGGAAGGAAAAGTAGCTTGTGATGAGCTCCATGTGTGTAAACACTAAAGTAATTAATTATCAACAGTGAAAGCATTTCTTAAGAATAATTAGATGCAATCACTTAGGCTTCTATTTTTTACTCATCAGCAGAAGTACCCCCAACCTAAGTCATTTTCCTGCCCAATTTCTAACACTACTTGAACTATGTGACTATAAATCATAGATTGTGTTAGTACTATCAACATGCATGACATAATCTTTACATATGTTGGTAACAATTTGCATCAACTAACTTGATATCATTCTGAATGCCTACAAAATTCACCAGGTTCAGCTTGGACAATACTATCAAGATCGTTCGCCGAGTATTGCATCGTGGGCTGGGAAAATTTGCCAAGGACACTCCTCCTCTACTACACAAACTTTGTGTCATCACCAGAAGGGTATTTCCAAACAGTTATATGCAACTCTGAGGACTACAAGAACACCACTGTTAACCATGATCTCCACTACATTACTTGGGACAATCCTCCAAAACAGCATCCTAGGTCTCTAGGACTTAAGGATTATAGGAAAATGGTTATGAGTAGCCGTCCTTTTGCTAGAAAATTCAAGAGAAATGACCCAGTTCTTGATAAAATTGATAGAGAGCTTCTTAAGAGGTATCATGGGCAATTTTCTTTTGGTGGATGGTGCTCTCAGGGTGGAAAGCATAGAACATGTTCAGGTTTGAGAGCTGAGAATTATGGTGTGCTCAATCCTGGTCCATCCTCTAGAAGGCTAAAAAATTTGCTAACAAAGCTTCTCTCTGATAGATTTTTTCACAAACAACAGTGCAGGTAAATTACCATTTGATTTTGATTTCAATTTCAATTGATCGCTTGTAAATTTTTTCACAAACAACGGTGCAGGTAAATTACCATTTGATTTTGATTTCAATTTCAATTTCAATTGATCGCTTGTAAAGAGTGAAGACTATTGAAATTTTGGTTATAATATAATCAATAATTTTTTCTTCTCTTCAACTTGGAGCTTTATGTGGTTGGACTAAGCATGAATACATGATAACGGTGAAAATAATCATGACATGGAAACTTAATAAGTGTACACTTTCAACATTGCAACAACATTATATCACGTTTTATATAATGCACGGGATTTGTTTAGATGTTTATGACAATCATAGCCGTGAAGCATGGCAATGATTTATGGCAATTTTATGGGTTAGATTGGAGTTTCATCCCTAAAAAATTTTACTGTGAATTACAATACATTGGATTTGTTACAATAATAGCTATTACCAAATTTAATTGTAAATTACATTTAACGCCATATTTTTTTTTAACTCTTTAACACTCTAAATGTTTTAGAAAGAGAATTTGTTTAATATTACTAATTGAGTTCTATTATGACAAGATTTAAAAACACCTGATCTTATATTTTCTTAAGATCACTACTACTCAGATCTCTAAAGTATGCTTTGCATTACATATATAGAAGTTTTGCAATTGTGTTCAAGACCATATGTTTTAGAAATTTGAATTTTTTTACTTCAACCAACACGCATTGAGTAAGCCATTTGTTTTCAAATTCGTAGCAGAGGACGGAAAGAAAAGTTATATATCATTGACATATTATTACTTCGAAACAAAATGTTAGCTAATCTTCGATGCATTTATGATCAAAGGTAGAGTGAAGTCTCACAAACGATGCAAAGAAGAAAAGAACAAAAGAGAAGAGTGAGATAATGATTTTGTGTCCCCTATTGCACATGTACATAGGTAGGTATATGGATATTTTCTTTTTTCTATTGAAAAACTATGCAGGGATTATTTGAATATATTTGTTTCTTTCTTCTTTTACAATCTCATGTATGTTCACACTCTTCCTTTTTCTTTTCATTAAACAAGGATTATTTTAATGTATTTATCTCTTTCTTGTTGCCATTCATCAATGAATTTTTTCCAATTAACTAAAGCACACTACAGCATAATTAAGTTTTAGAAACATTTAAAAAATGTTACTGAATAAAATCGGCAACATTTTCACAAACATAGTAAAAAATTCATGTTGCTAAAAGGTTTTACCAACCAAGCACCCTATGTCAAAATAAAATCACTAGTTACCCTATGGAAGTACCCTATATATGTAAATGTGATTGTTTAATAAATCCTACTCATTCATGAACAAAACATGTTTAAGTACAATATCTCAAAGCTAATATTTATTGCATCATAATAAATCTATTATCTTAAATATACAATTTATTGATGTGTGTAGCTTCCTGCCCACTATTAGCACAAGCAAATTACTATAATTTTAACCAATAATCATAACAAAAGTCATGAGACTCATATTTAGTTGATAAACATATCCAATACACAGTAGTATTCTAACTTCTAAGTTTTAAGAATTATTAAATCACATGTGATTCAAATAAAAGAATGAGACAAGGAGACAAAATTAGTGGTAAGTAGAAAAATAATTTCATCATAAGTAAAACTAGCTCCAACTATTAATATCATTTTAATTTATCTCATCATAAATAATGATAAAAAAATAAATTTAAAAATTATTCTATATTTAACTATGTTACATGCATCTTGTTATTTTCATAAAATCGAACATAAATAAAAAATCAAAGAGGAAAGTTAAAATAATAAAACAATGTCCTCATATTAAGTAACAAGCAAAACTAACTTCAACTTCAATATCATTTCAATTTCTCTCCAAGAAAACAAAATTAAAAACTATATTATGTTTGAGCAATTTCTCATCAAATAAAATAAATAGCATACAACATATGAAGTAATAAGCATAACTATAACTCTCAAATAAATAAATAACAAAAATTAAAATAGAAAATTAAATAACCTCTTATTCAATTTAGCATGCTTTAACTTCTCATATTTTACTGTGAATTTAGCTTATTTATCAAAATAAGGCTTTTTATCCTAATTCAATGGTATAGATAAAGTGGATTAATCATTATTAAATAACTTAAGTTAAAATAAGAATTAGACATACTTCATTATTCATGAACTTCCATGTTTTGACAGTCATTTTACTAATTTATATTTTTTAACTTTTTAAAATATGAATGCTAATTAGTGAATGAATAAATAAAATGAAAATTTAATATTAATTTAATAAAATTTAAATTCGAAGGTTCTCTGAATTGACATTTGTTTTCTTATATTTATTTTTTAAACCTTTTCCTATAATAAAAATTATTAGCTAATAAAATAATATATAAAGCATTAAGTTAATTAAGAAAAAGAAGATAAGAAAAAAAAAAAGAAAAAGACAAAAGGTAGTGGATGGATGCTCGAGCTTATTAGAATCCTACCGAGTTCTAATTCTTTAGCCTTTAATTCCTTTGAATTTTTATACAATTTTAAAATAAAAGTAATATAACCAATATTAAACATTCAAAAATAATTTAAATACATTTCACTTCTTTGTTGTCTTTTTCACTTCAGCAAGATTTTCCATAATCTAAATTTCTAAGATTAGGAGAAGAAATAATAACCTTTTACAATAAGTAATCTAAAAATTAATAAATAAAAACTCAAACACAAAAAGTTAATATAACCTTGCTTCTAACACCATTAGTAAGTGATAAATAATATTATAATAAATTTTATAAGTTGAAAAATATAAAAAATTAATGTTGCAAATGCAAAGTTCTATTATCTTATCTAAATTTAGAATCACTATATTTATGTATCTTTTGCAATATGATATAATAATATAAATTGCTAACCATCATGAGGTATTGAAGGAGTTTGACGATGACTTAATGTAATCTCCTCTAACTCATTAAGGATTTGTGTCATAAAGCCTCTTTTCACATTGAAACCTTATGCTTCTTAGACAACATAGGTGTTTGTCCTTCTTGTTCACCAAGAACATATTTCACATGGATATTTGATAATGAAATTTTGCCTTTTTTTATACTATATTGTATCATATTTAATAATTAATATAAAATTCGATATTGTATCATGTTAAATAATATCAAGGAATTTGAAAAAAAAATGTATAACAAAATGCAAGTACATTCATAAAAACTAGATATTTTGTTCAACTAGATAAATAAAACAAATTATTTAAAGAGAAATAAAAAAATAACAAATATTATTTTTGGACTCTTTCCTTGTTATTTGACTAATAACATCAATTGTTGTACTCAATACGTCATCCCTAAACCAATTGACATTTTCATCTCCATTAATCTTATATTCATCAAATTCTTTATTTGATCTTTTTTTTTCATATCACCATTATCTAAATCACCATATATATATATATATATCAAACAAGTCTCTAGAGATGGTGCTAGTAACAATTTGCCAATCACTTGGATCTTTTATGTAATATACTTGCTTCACTTGAGTTGCAAACACAAATGAATCATTTTCGTAAATCAACTTTGCAAATTTTATGAGTATCAATCCAAAATTATCTTGTTTGCTTCGACACCAATCACATTTAAATAACACATATTTAAAGTGCTTGTAATAATTGAAATCAAGTATATCTTTCAATACTCCATAATAAGTGACATTTTACTTTAGAGTTTTCATCTTTCATACTTTTGAACTTGACAATAGATGAAGTAACCATAGCTCCATAATTTTGTGTTTTTCTTTCACAACCCTTGATAACCACGTCGCAATGGTATCAAACAAACTAGATTTTCTTAATAATTTTGCAATAGAAGGAGTAAACCTAGGTCATCTCACAAGGACATAAAATACATTCTGTTTTTGATTCCATTATATTCAGATTAGCTTAGGAAATGATTGTTTTGAATTAAATTGTAAACAACAGAAAAAGAAGAGAACAAAGAATAATTCCAACAAAATATGAAGTTCAACAAATTCAAAATCTCAATCACTACAACGCAATTCTTATTATTACACGAATACAATTCCAATGAATTTCTAATCAACACTAATTCAATACGACATTAACAATCCAAAATCTAAATCTAGATTATGAATTCCATCAAAACAAGAACTGCAATCGCAAATCCAATGCTCTAACGAAATTCAAAACAATTGATTAATTGAATTAGGTGAATTCCTTTATTTCAAATATGAAATTCTCATTCTCTGTTTAGAATGCAAACGAAAATTCAATATCATGAAAAACATAATTGTTCTAATCAGAAAAGAGGAGGAAGAGAGAGAATTCGATAGAACCTAATCTGAAACTCAAATGCAATGTAGTTCTTGAAACCTTGAACCGATTGATGGATTAGCCTTGCTTCATGATCATGCTTGCTTCGGCCAAAACCAGAAAATACGAAAAGATGGAAGGTAGAGAGACAAAAATAAAGGAAAGAATTTAAAATAAAGACTTTTTTAATTCTGAAAAATAATGAGCGGGAAAAGAAAAACAAGGATTCGTACATGGAGTCATAACCTCTATTTAAAGACAAAATAATTGGGCTTAATTAAGGCCCAACTCCCTAATGAGGTTCCTAAACACCTAACTAAGTAAAATCAGCAATACAATCAAATTCTGAAAATTTCAGTGCAGGGCCGTAACATTGTGACGCAATTTTGGACTTGAAGATGCTCGAACTGGGCTTTTCTCCCAACAGAGAAGTTGTAGATCTCTGTCTTATCTTTTCAGGAACACCAATTTTGTTCAATTTCGAATAGTGTAACTCCAGATATGGTCTTTGCAAGAAACTGTGTCAAAATAATAAATTATGACAGGAATTAAGAAAGATTTATATTTAAATCCTAAATTATTTACTAACACAAATCTAAGCTAATACATCAAAATAATGCACTAATGAAGCTCAATTAAACCAAAAAAATGGAGAGAAAGATGTACTAAAATATGACTATCAAATACCCCCACACTTAATCCTTTGCACTCTGGGGCAAAACTTTCTAATGAATTTCCAATGCAAAGAATAAGGAAAGAAAACAAACATTTCTAGAATCAAGGCAACAAACAATCAATGAGACACAAATGACATTAAAGTAAGCAAGAAGGC